TAAATTAAAAATACATATTTTTAATTAATAATTAAAATCATGAAAATATATCAATTTAGTATTTTGTAAATGAAAAACAAAGTAAAAATTACTTTGCAAGGCAAAAGTTACGAGCACCTAGTCGGGAGACAAACCATTATAGCAGTAGAGAGTAGAGAGCGCGACCGCAATAAATATACTTGTGCTGGGATTGTTGAACGAACCATTAAAATCCAACTACCCGCAAACCTAACCACATACGGATTTTTGTTTTATCACCACAGTGATAAATACAATGAGATATTTATGATTTCTTTTTGGCTAAATAGCTTTAACCTCCGGGAATATTAACCCATTTGTTAATTAAAATCAGGTTCTTTTATCAAATATTATATGTTCGTTCATTAAAAAACTCTAACATGTGAAAGTCACTCGTAAATTAATCTATTTTAAGTGTATGATGAATAAAATATCAATAGTGGTTGATTTTAATAGCTAAATATTCTTTTAAGTAAAGTTTCGAACTCCAGTCTCATAATTATAATATATTATTACTGGGAGAGCTTCATTTTTTAGTGGACGAACTTGACTTAATGAAATTAATCGGGTCAGTGGATTTTTAAATACTAGAATTTAAATAAAAAAATAATGGTACAACTATATTTTTAATTTATTTCTCACCATCTATTTTTTTTAAAAAAAAAAACAACAAAAAAACTCTCAGTAATTTCAGAACTAGCCGCCCGTCAATTGGCATTGCAATCATCCAGCTAAAAACGCCAATAATTTACTTCATTTGTCCATCTCGGTCATGGCAACCACCCGGAGCGTAGTCAAAAGGTTGCTTTTTTATGCTCCACAAAAAACCTTCATCCTTATCCCTTTCCTTCTACTTTCCCCGTCTAACCTCTTCCTTGCCTCCATTTGGTTTTCGTTGGGACCGAGTCCTCATCTGGACCCCTACAAGTGCGACTAAAGGAAAGAGCTGTCCGTGAATCATTAGTGAAGTGAGATGCATGTTTTTCGAACCAAGCCCCAATCAGCTCGAGATGTTTAGTCTGCTCGTCACTGTCTTGAGTCCACTTATCAGTACAAACAAGATTCATTTTTTATTTTTATTTACACCAAAAGAGTTGGTCTAGCATTGGAAGAGACTTGTTTTTTTTCATTACACTTGAGTTCGAGCCCTGACATGTATGCTTGTCATCCTCGCGGTGCCTTACCTGTCTATTCGGTTTGCAGGATATCCAATGGGCCGTGGGGATTAGTCGTGGTGCGCGCAATCTGACCCGGATACCCCACATATATAAAAAAAAAGATTCATTTTTTATTATCTCGGAGCCACAATTTTAGTGTTGTTGTGAAGAATCTGTAAGGATTACGGACGCCAACTATCTCCACATTGGTATGATATTGTCCACTTTGGGCCTAAGCCCTCATGGATTTGCTCTTGAACTATACCCAAAAGGCCTCATACCAATGGAGATATTTTTCCATCCTTATATACCCTTGATCCTTTCCATTTCTAACCAATGTGAGATTTTGATCGCATACCCAATAATCCTTCCCTCGAATAAAGGACCACTGAGCCTCTCCTCAAACGATCATTCATTCATCCATTCTCTACCAACCAGGATTTTTCATTCTTTACCTCTCTCTATTTCATCGTGTTGGGGTCAGGACACGTCCATGAAGTATCTGGAGAGCACTACCTGACTTGAGAGTTTTTTTGCTCTTTCTATGTCAACTCCTGGAGCCCACCACCTTTTGTTCGACATTCCGAGGATTCATCCATCATGGCTAACTCGGAGGCATGAATCTGATACCACTTGTAAGGATTACGAACACCAACTATCTCCATATTGGTATGATATTGTCCACTTTGGGCCTAATCCCTCATGGATTTGCTCTTGGGTTATACCCAAAAGGCCTCATACCAATGGAGATATTTGTCCATCCTTATATACCCTTGATCCTCCCATTTTTTATTGTCTCGCAGCCACAATTTTAGTCTTGTAGTGAAAAATCGTGGTCTCTCAAGTTTTTATTCATTCAAATTTGGTCATCAATCTTCATTTTCTTTTAACTTCACCATAAAAAATTATAGTGTTTTTGTCCTCCATGTCATCAGGCATCCGAGCAATAAGAGACTGTTCTGGGGGTTAAATGATAGGTTGATTTTACATCATATAATTCCTAGTTATTGTTAAGAATAATGTTAAACAAAACAAGGATTATAAAAATCAACTACATTTTCCATCAGCACTGTTTAAGATATGTATAAATTTACATTTTAGTCTCTCAAGATTTTAATTATTTATACTTGATCCATTCTATATCTAGATTTTTTTGTTTAGTTTTCAAACTTTATTTTTTTATGTTTTAATCTTTATATCTTGAAATAGAAGAAAAAATTTATTGAAAAGACCGAGAGAGAGAAGCTCTCAAGGAGCTGGGTTCTAAACACTATCTTTTATTTTGGTGTTTATGAATTCAACTTCAATAAATAAACTCAATAAAGATGATGTTCACCTTCAGTACAATGAAAAAGTAGATTTCATCTTGATGTTTTTTGTTATTTCATTTAATCTTGAGTTTTTAGATCAATTAAAATATATTTATTTTATATTTTAGATGAAAAAAGATTGAAATCTTGATTTTGAAGGCAAAAAACACTTGAACGCTGATCTTTTGTTAGTCAAGGATATCTCAAACAATGAAATAAATGAAAAACAAGTGATGATCATCTATCTATTTTTAAAAAGATAATAGAGGGTAAATATATATAAAAAATCTTTTACCTTTTAAAAATTAAAAATTAAAATAAGATGTGCAAGATTGGACTTTTAGGCTCAGGTATGCTTAGATTTTAATATGGGCTAGACGATCCCCCACCCCATGCGAGCATGACCCCTTATTTTTTTGTAATATTATTTTTATTTTTTTGAATTTTATAATTAAATTATTTTAAAATAAACTTATTTATATAATATTTAAATAATTATCCATTTATGCCATTGTTTTCAAAGAATACTAGCCTATTTTATGATAATATTAAGAATTGGTTTTTCAATAATTATATATGAACTTAATATGCATGTTCTTTTTAAATCTAGATGAAATATCTATTTTTTATTTTTTTATAATTTTTATGTAATCTTTTCAAGTTTATTATTCTTATATTTTCTTAATACATTTGTGTCAAAACCACCAATTTATAATTTTTTAATAAAAATTACTTTTAAGAATATGATAAGTTTTTATTAAAAAGAACTATTTTTGATTAAAGAAATTGTAAAAAAGAATGCATCAATAAGGGGAATGATCAGTTTTGATTAAATATATATATATTTTTATATTTATTTCAAATCATTATTTTTTTATATTGATTTTAATTGCTTTTATAGAAAAAAACATATATTTTTTAATACATTAATAATAAAAGGAGAATTTATACTAGTAATTATATTTTTCTATGAAATTTAAACTATTACTTTTTCTTAACAAAAATCCATTTTTTTTTAATATAATTAAATAATTTTTTTTGAAAAGCATCTCAAGATCAAATATCTTTATAGACATCTCTCTTTTAATTTTCTGTTTTAGTTTTTAGTTACCATTATCAACTTTTTTTTTATATGTTTTATTGGTTCATATATTTTTCAATTTATTTTATTAAACTTAAGCATTAACTCACTAAAACAATATTATTTTAGCTTCTTTTTTTTATTTTTTTCTAAAATGTTATTGTTTAGGATTAAAATTAAATAAAAATATAATAAATCAAGGCTAACTTTCTCATCTAAAGGTTGATTATGGTTGTAAATCATCATGGATTAAATTGACCACAAAAGGTTATTCTTATTTTTTTAAAAAAAACTTGAACATTAAAAAAAAATTAAACTGATGACATTTTAAACTCACTGCCATTAAAATTACAGTGGTAATTTAGATCGGAGAATCAAAGTTAGATTGTATATAAATGAGTGTAACGAAGAGTATAATTATAAAACTTAATCCGACTCAGTGGATTAATTTGGTGTTCTGTTGACTCAAAGCTTGGTTTGTACCGGGTTTTATCTTGAACCGATTTTTTTTATTAAAATAATATTATTTTAGAATTTTTGTAAACCATGATTCACCGAACCATGTGATGCAGGTGGTTTGAATGAGTCGGTTGTGGATTTGCTATAACTAGTGTGTGGATAGATTTGCAGGGATAATCATGGCCACTAAAAAAGGCTAAGGGCCAGAAAAGGTCTATGTTGCATAGAATGACTGACTCGATAAAGGGTCCCAAACATTATATAAATTATGCTTGAATTTTACAGGTAGGTTCCAAAAACTAGTTTTATAGGGGCTAGCTTGGTGTGACTAGTCTTGATTTAGAGTTATAAAGTTTTGTTTTGGTTAGAGAAACAAACTATTTAAAAAAAAATTAATTTTAAATTAATTTTTTTATATATGTTTATGATATTCGGTGAAATTCTTGTTATTTGTACTCTATTTTTTTTTTTACAGTAACCCTATTCGAAAAAATCGTGTCAACAGGGCGTGAAGTGATACCAGAGTTGCGTCACCATGGACGCGTCACCGTGGGTCAACCTGCTCTACCCCCAAGGTCTGATAGCTGTATAAAAGAGTGTTATCACCTTACTGAAGAGCATCACAAAACAGAGAGAGAGAGAGAGAGGGAGGGAGACTGCCTTCAACGTCCCAGTATAGCTTCGAGGAAATCTAGAGCCTCCTGCTTCTCAGGTTAAGGTACTTGGGTTCTCATGCACTAGTTTTTTCTCCTGTTCATACTCCCTTGTTTCATTATTTTTGTCCCAACAACTGAGAACGTTTAAAGCTCCCAAATCATTGAAGGTTTCTTAATTTCAGTGTTACAAAGCTCACATGGCATGCATTAACAATAAACCTTCGATCACCTTTGTAACCTGAAATGGTCAGGGTTTTCGCCTTTTCCCCCCACTTACTTTGCAAGTGATGAAGTTCGGTTATAGTTTTTTTTATTACTCCATGTATGCCTATTAAAGTTTGATTGCAGCTCTTTTTTTTCTAGATCAAAACACCAAGTTCTATAATACTAGGCTGCTAGCTGCTTATTTGTTTTAGTATCTTCTCCTTCTTCTAGCTAACTAGGGGCAGCTAGATGATGCTTGAGGAAGAACTCTTGGCTGTACATATACAATATCTAGGTTCAGAAAACCCCAATTTCCATGATATATGGAACATTATGCTACACAAACCCTGAACCGTGTATTTCACTAGAAAATCTAATTTGGCTGGTTTGGTTAGTAGAAGAAACCGAGCAAGCAACTAGTTGCTCCAAACGATCCGCTGTGATAAAAAGTTTGAGATGTCATGAAACTCAGACTCCTGATAAATTTGATGTTTTGCATAGTATTGACTTGTACCGGTGTATAATTTATATATAGAATTCGATGTTTTCAGATGCCATGAAAGTTCTTGCTAGCGAGTATGTATAGAATTGTTTTGAGAAGTTAATTTTATTGCTAGTGGTGACTCTTGTTTTATTTGTCATGCGAGCAGAAAACTTCCACAAATGGAAGAAAATGAATTATCAAACTCTATGAATCATAATGAAAAACCTTGCAAAGATATTGCAATTGAAATTCCAGAGGGTTTAATGATTAATTAAGTGGTATACTCCTTTCTTTGTTAATTATTGAGTTTAAAGCTGGTTTCGTTTAAGTGAATTAAGAAGAAAATAATTTTTAATCTCATATTAAAAATAATTTTTAAAAAAAATGTTTCATTGATTTTTATTATATAATAAATTAAGTGAAAATTATAGTGGATAAGCTTTCCTAGTTAGCTTTCTAATATTGTTATATAAATATTTATAATATAAAAAAGAAGACACTTGACACTTTTGACACTTGAAGTTTAATTTGTGGTGACATTAATTCTTTCATGAGTTATTTTTTTTTAATTTTTATAATTAATTTTTATATTTTTAAATATTCAAATAAAATTAAATAACAGTTATTCAATTTAATTGAAAATAAAACTTTCTTATTAATAATCATATAATTTCATTAAGATATTTAATTCTATATAAACTTATCATTATATAAAGAGATACATAAAAGAAAGTTTTTTTAAAAATTCTTTTATAGTCTTAAATGAAAATAAATCAACACTTTAAAAACAATATTTTTATCATAAGTGCATTTTATGGTGAGAATACGTGAATAACATAAACGGAAGTAGTTCAATAGTATGAATTAATTTCCATCGTTAACAAAAATAAAATCTTTAAAGATCTTTTACACTTTCTATTTTACCCTAATTAAATTTTGGTGAACTAATCCATTATCTTGTCAGATAAATCACTTAGTTTCATTGGAAACTAACAGCAAATATTAGCATTGTGTTCTGTTGCATAAACAAAAAGAATTCAAACTTGTAGAAATAAGTAATATTTTTATGAAATAGATTCTATTGGTAGTAAGTAACTGCTGTTTATTTATGCTACTGGACAGCAAAAATTGATAGATGGGAGAGATTCGTTCACCATACTTTTCTATTGATCAAGAACACCTCAAAGATAATGCTGAAATTCGTTCACCATATTTTTCAAGTGCTGGAGACTACCTTGGAGTTAATGCTGAAATTCGTTCACCTTATTTTTCATTTGATACTCAAGATTACCATGGAGATAATGCCGGAATTCATTCCTCGTATTTTTCAGCTGCAGACTACCACGGAGAAGATGCTGAAATTCCTTCTGGAACATTCTTTCACCAAGATAATATTGTTGAGAATCCATACAATGCAGAAACTTTTGTTGAGCAGTATATTGTTCAGAACACGCACAACGCAGAAATGCCCCTTCAACGGTCAAGAGTTGAAGAACTGTACTTGGATCTTGAAGCTGGAGCTGTACGCAAAATCAGGAATTATTGTATCTACAGAGTTCCTGATTCACTTCGCAAATCAAATGAAGCCATCTATACTCCTCAAGAAGTTTCTATAGGTCCTATTCACCATTGCAAGAAGAATTTGCAGCTCATGACAACGCAAAAGGAGAGATATTTGAAAGAATTCTGTAACAGGGTGGTAGGGGAAACAAGGGTGCAACAAGTGAAGTTCCTGGAGAAAATTTGGAACACCATTAAAAAGGATGAAGAGAATATCCGCCAATGTTATGAAGATGGTGCTCCTGAAGTTGCAGAAAATGATCAGTTTGTGAAAATGGTGTTGTTGGATGCTGTTTTCATCTTGGAGTACTTGTTGAGGAATAAAGATTTTAAAAAATATGGAGATGATTCCTTATTGCGTAGAAACGGGTTAATGTTTCGGATTCGACGAGACTTGTTGCTGCTCGAGAATCAGTTGCCATTCTTCATTCTTGAGAAATTATATAACCATCTTTTCGAAGACGGCGAAGGAAATTATACTTCTTTTCGGGATCTTGCCTACGAGTACTTAAATAGGTACAATGCGAGTGCATACAAGCTGCAGAGCGACAAGAATATATTACATTTCACCGATTTGGTCAGATCTTCATTAACCGTCACCCATCCAGATCCGAGGAGTGACGAACCGATTGGAAAATTTTATAGCGCAACCAAGCTGCATGAGGCAGGGATTAATTTTAAGGAATTTCGAAATGAATGCTTACTTGACGTAAAATTTTCTTCTACAAAAGGGGAGTTACGTATACCACGTCTTCGGATAGATCACCGCACTGAACTTCTATTCGGAAATCTCATTGCCTTGGAGCGGTGTCATTATAAAGGAGAAGAGTACATCTGCCATTACGTTAAGCTACTTGATACTCTTGTTGCCAAACCCAAAGATGTGGATCTCCTCATTAAAAATAAAATCATTGAGACAGACAGAGATGGTGCTTCTGTGAAGAATCTGATTGACAAGCTTTCGGCAGAAACTCCTGAAGAATATTCCATTTATTGTAACCTCTACAAGCAGCTGGATCAACACTACGAGAAATCCTGGTTGAAAAATAGCGCATACATCAGAAAGGTATATTTTGGAAATCTTTGGAGAGGTACTGCAACTGTTAGCGCTGCTGTCTGGTTCCTCTTCTCTTTTGTACGAACAATTTGTGCAGTCCTTGCCTTGCGCTAGTACTCCAAGTGGACCAAGTTAGCCCCTGTAATTTTATTTCTCTCATTGTTGCCTTTCGTTGTATTGTTTGTGTGCTTTCCGTTTCCTTTGCAGTTTTTCATTGTACTTCAACTCATGGGCTTTCTTTGTATTTTGTAATCATGACTTTGTAATGATGGTTCTGATGGATGCTGTCTTCATTATCGAGTTCATCTTGCAGAATTCAAGAAGTCCCCGTCGTAAAGAGTCCGGACCGTCTGAGAAAAGCAAAAATTATCTTTTACTAAAGGACTTGATACTACTCGAAAATCAACTACCTTCATTGTTGAGAAACTGTATGACAAGAGATATTACCCTACATTTCTTCAGCTTCTCTATAACTACTTTGAACATCGCTACGTGCCTGCAGTGGAGGCAAAACCTCGTCCAAGGGAAGTAAAACATTTCACTGATTTGGTAAGGTGTTCTATGTTGATTGAGCCTGGTCCTCGCAACCTTGATTTTCCTATTGAACTCAAATATAATGCAACCACGTTCCTTAAGGCAGGAGTTAAGTTTGTAGTTGTTGATAATAACCATCTGCTTGACATAAGATTTGATAATGGGGTGGTGACATTTTCGAATGTACAATTAGAAATATTCTATGGCCTTGGAGCAGTTCCATTACAATTTAAAAACATTAAGAAAAAAAATCTTATATTATAATGTTATGGAAAGTATAGTACATGGAATAAGATTTTGATATGTCCGAGCCCCAAAATTTGAATAGTTAAAAAATCTAAAATAATATTGTTTTAAATAAAAATTAAAAATAAAATAAAATAGATCAGTTATAACTCAAATTTAAAATAAATAATCTAGATTATGAGTTTAAATCTCATGTTACTTGGATTTTTTTTTTCTAGATTAACTCTTTCAAAAATAATCCTGACCCGAATTAGATACTAAAGAGTCAAATTGAATTTGATAAATATAAAAATAAAAATAAAAATTACACAAGCACCACGTTGTTGCTCTTCCTAGTCTCTGGAAGACTTCCACTGTTTAATAGCAAATCACTTTATTTAAATTTTTTTTTTATAATTTGTAGGACATTATTAATATCTATAAATATAATCTCGAGGATTATATTTTAAGATTTTTAGATTAGAGTATATCTATTTTCTCTATCAACTTTGCAAGTTCTTTTTTATTCCAGAAAGAGGCTACAACTTGTGATTTTGTTTTTTGAAGAAATGGACGCAAGTGCTAGTAATTTCAAGATTAAAAAACCCACGGCAATGGGCTCCTCTGGTCTTCAGCAAGTTCCCAGGCTTGCCATGACGAATGACAACTCACAAACAGCCATGGTAGCAGATTTGGTTCGAAGAGAGAGCCAAGGGCAACTGGCTAAGGCGATCATGCCATGTCGTGCGAATAGATGCAACCATAGAAGGAACACCTCGAAACCTGTGTATTTCAGCAATCTTTGTAGAGGGATTAAAACTGTTGCTGCTGTTGTCCTGCTGATACTCACTGTGATCATACAGACTGGCTGTTGATCTCTGCTACTTCATCTATTCTCTGCAATGATGCATCTAGTTTGTATGTTTTTATATTTAATTTTTTTTTAATATTTTTACATCATTTTATATTGATATAAAGTTAAAAATAAATTTTAAAAAATAACCATCATACTATTAAACAAACTACATGTATAAAAAATAAAATAAAATAAATGAATAGAAAAAAAGAATAATGATAGGGACTATACTATTGAGTGGACCCGTTAAAAAATCCAGCCTGCCGGGTTGATATGAAATCCTGTAACATTAGATCTTGTTTAGGAGGGATTTTCCAAATCAAATGCCTCATTCTACAAGATTCAACCAAAATAAATAATAAAAAAAAAAATACTTACTCTGTAATATAAATATTCTTAGATTATATTGCATGTCAATCAAAATTAATTTTTTTATTAAAGAATATTAAGAACACACATTCTATATCAATTTTATATATTTAAAATAATTAAATGAATTTTTATGAATACTGATTTTAAGTGTCTGAATTAAAGATTCAAGAAAGGCAACAAACTTCATTAATCTCTAAGCCATTTTCTGAGGATCTTGTGCTCCTCAAGCTTACACGTGTTGATTTCG